CAAACCTTTGGGGTTAGTTTTTTATCTATAATCTATTATCTATAATAATTTGTTATCGAGCAGAGTGCAGAAACTGTACATAGGTTCCCACCTACTCACAGACCTTTGCAAAGGAAACTTCAGATACCCTTTGGACTAGGAGACACTCTTATATTCTCTTACAGTTGTGGATATATTTTTATTCTGGAATAAACACTTGATCTAGTTATGGGAGGTTTCCTTATTCTTAAAATAACATAAAGTCCTCAGAAAGAGAGGACTCTTGCAGCTTTGTACTTGTGAGAATACCAGCCAAAGATAATTATCTGGAGTAAAATAGAAATGAAAGTTCAGAGAACATGATGCATAGTGAAAAATCACAGACCTGTAAGACATGTATTACTTATGTACACAGGATCAAACAGCTGCTGCTCCTGCCTTTTACGAAGCATCCCTGAACATGCTATTCTCTTCAGTGAACAATTACTGTATTTAGTGCTGTAGTCTTTCACTGAGCCCTGTGATGCTGATTCTTCACCTCTCTCCATAATTTCTTCTGTTAAAATGCAAGGAGTGATTAGGATGTTTTGTCCTATAATATCTTACCAAGCTTATTTCATCTCTGAGGGCTAAATCCACCCAGATTCGTACTCTCGGCTTCATACAGTGACTCACCATCAGTGAGATTTTTTTTTGTCTAGCTCATTAAAACAGACTCTTCCTCCCAACCTGGGGGGCAGCAGACCCTGCTCAAGTCAGGAGTGCAACATCAGGAACCATAGTTTGCAAAATTGCCACCTGATTCCTTTCATTCATAATGTGGCTTCCTTGCACAGAGGCCCAAATCTCCAGAGCTACGATGTGCCAGAACACAAGCACAGCTGCCTCCTCTTGGACCCAAAAGCGACAGAGCTACAGGCTGAAAAAAGAACCTGTTTCCTTCTCTGATTACAGCTGTAGAACGATTTCTAGAAATTGCTATTGAGAAATACATCAACATATTGTTGATTCCTTTGGCCTAGTGAGTGATGATCTAATTTCTGTTTAACTGACCAGCAGCCAATTTACATTTGGATCAAAGTTTGAAAAGTGGCTTATTTTGTGTTAGGATGAGCTGGTCATTATAAATGTGAACCGTAACAGCACTCAGGGATAAATCCTGCAAGATGCTGAATGTTCTTTGTATGGGAGTGCAGGTACTCAGTGCCATCTACCTAATTCTTTATATCATCAAATCACACCATTTCGCTGACGCTTATCTGACAATTCATTCATGAAGCCAATCCTGTAAATAGAGAAATATATATAGACAATATATTGTAGTATTCACTGAGGAAGCAGAAATTAATTATACACAGTGATCCTAATTCACACCTGCCTTACTGCAGCCTTAGGTCAATATAAATCCATTACCAACCCGAAATGGGCATGAAATGGTCTCTCTATTAATTGACTATTTTATTCCAGTTACTGTCAAATAAAATCTAACCCATTCCTTTCTCAGAAAAAAAAAAATTGCATTAAGCTAATCGATAGTGGTGTAGTGCGTGACACAGCTGAAAAAACTGTTGGAATTAGTTAAGACAATAAAAATACTCAGTGTCCCTCATTAAAGGTCTTTACAAGAGTAACTAAAATTAAAGAGAACAGTTGAAAGATCAGAGTCAACAGCTGTTCCATTTTTAGCTATTTTAATTCTAATTCTCTGTTTTTTTAGATGCCATACGTAAGGGTTAAAGGAGAAAGAGCAATGGGAAGAAGACATAGTTCTTCAGGGGAAAAGGAATCAGTTAATTCAATATTGTTGTGTGAGAAAAGAACAGGCAGCACAGAGTTCTCTTGGTAAGAAGCTAATAAGAAAGTCCTGACCCTGTCCAAGACCAGCTAGAGACAGGACTTCAGGATTTTGAATTTCTAGCTGGTGACACGTCTAGAAACCTAGCAAGGAGAAGCTGTGGCTATCGGTGGAAGCAACACTGATACAGACCACTTATATTCACTGCAATAGGTCATGTCTTGTCCCGCAGTGACCTCACAGTTACACCACCTTAGTCCAGCAGGTAACTAAGGGACTTCAGTGAAGAGCACAGATAAGGGTAAGATAGTGTAGGCAATGGAGGCAAAGAATGGGAACCCTCTGAAGGATGAGTCAGATTTTTAATGGGATAAGAGCAGCTTACTTTTAGCCCGTAGACAATGCAAGGTAATTTGGCTTCCCTCAATGAACAGTAAAAGGGCTTTAAGAACAGTTAAATGACCTCTGATTTCTAGCCAGCCCAAAAAAAAAAAAGGCAAAAGTCTTCTGACTTCTCCATAATCTGACTTCTGCCTTGACTGATCCCCGCGGCCTGAAACCCATGGAGCAACCATGGCATGTGAAGTCAAAGATGGAAAAGGGAGCATGTTAACAAGATAACTTCCTTCTTTTCTTTCCCTGCTACCCAGGAATCCGGCTACCCTTTTTTCATTACAAATGTTACTAATGAAAACTAAAATCGGACAGTAAAAATGCACTTTCTCCTGATGCTCTTTTTTCTCTTCCTTTCCCTCTCACTGGCCCCACCTGTACTAACACAGTCACACTTTCAGTCGTCCTTACTGGAAGCAATGCCAGCTTTCAGTTTTTATTAAGAAAGCTAAATCAGGAGTTTATAATAGTCCTTTTATACTTTTAATGTTGCCCATTTTACTGCTGCTTTAACATTCACTACCCAGACCTGGCTTGTGTTCCATGTTCCCAGATCTGAACAACAGAACACCCCTATTAATTTAACCATGTCCTTTCTATTCCTACATTTCTTAAGCAGTACAGCTGTGATTTTGTCTTAATTTCCCTCTAGCCCTTAAACATCGTTCAATTCCATACATGCAATCACTGCAAAGGGAGAAAGTCAAAGGGGAATTCACAGTTCCTTGTGCCTGCAAAAGATCTGCGGTTGTACACTGGCCTTGTATTGCCACCAGGGAAAACGTGCCTTGTACCAAAGTCTGTTGGGTGTACTCAAGGCCTTGACATGCCCTAGACAAGGCTCACCCAGCTATATGGGTGCTTAAAGGAGAGCCTCGTTTTTTTCATACTTACTTTTGCTGAAAAACCTGCTCCCGCTGTTCTTACCAATTTCAGTATCTGCTTTCAAACTGCAGGCCCCACAAGGATCAGCCTTCTTCCATGCACCCATCTCTTGGGTTTAGGTCTGTGTTCAGTTGCTCATTGTTTCCTGCAGCCTGGTAACGCGTCAGAGAGAGAGGGAAATGGGGAGAAAAAAGGGGGAAAATCTTGTTGACATTTCTGCTTCCTGCTCTTTGGTGATGGGCTGTGAGCTGCTTCTTCGTGTAGCTAATATTATGGAGCCAGAGTTTCAGAATTACGTAAGCTGCTGAAACCAGAAGTGGCTAGGATTTTTCTCAGAAGTACCTTGCTCCTGAGCTGTAATTGATATCACAGCAAGTGGATTTAGCAGCATCCAGACTTGCATTCAGATGGGATTCAGCTATCTCAAGCCAAAACTGAGCTTCAAAAAGCCCCTGCTCAGATGCTCCTCCTTGAGGTGCCTGACCTTCCCTTGGTGCCACACTTTGCTGCCACAGCCCTTTGTAGGATTTAACTCTAGCCATCTACCCGTGTCTGTTGGTACTCACAACCACCAAAAGCTTGCCTGTCTGGAATAAAATGCCTCAAACAAATACTGATTGAGTTCCTGATGCAAGCCACTCCTTAGGCAGACTGTTGCTTAAGTCAGGTCAAAGATTCATCGTGTTCTTTGTAAGGCTGGAAATATCAGAGAGAAAACCATTTGTGCAGCACTCTTTCTCCGTGGAGGGTGCTCCTGCTCTGGGGTTATGCACTGATGTACCTCTCCTCTCGCCACACATTAATGAAAAAAAAAATACTGTGGTACGGTATGACCTCTCTACAAGCAGAAAACAAGCACCATCCTGTACCTAAACAGCAATATATTAAGATCATTACTGTATTTAATATAGTCAGCCCTATCACTAATCAGTAAAACTAGCAGTGGTATTATGTTCTTTTCAAAGTGACAGATTTGTCAATAGAATAAAAAAGCCGTTCTATCTAGACATTGTAACATAAATAACGGCATCTTAATGGAATACCTAAAATAACAGCAGGCAGAAAGGAGATCTCTTTTACCAAGAAAAAATGTTCAGTTATTGACTAATTTGCTGTAAATCTGTCTTTTGCTTTCTAGTCAATCGTTAACAATCAAAGGCCACCTGGCTTAATTGAGCCTAATTTTCAGGAAGCCTGATCTGGCATTCCTTACACACTACTTAGTCAAAGTGAATGAAGGACAAGGAAAACAATAGAAGTGGTAACGAAATGAAGAAAATCTGTCATTAAAGCAATTTTCTAAACATTCACAAAAATGGTTTTTCAGTTGCAGCCATAAAATATGACAATTGGCGGCCGTTTGATAAACTAGCAAGAAAATAATAAAGTTTGTCCTCTCCTAAAGGCTTTTAAGGAGTACACACACACACACACACACACACACAGAGCTATATTTATTGTTCAAATCTGAAAAGCAACAGGCTATAATATGACCACTCAGTTACTAAAGTAAGTGGCTTTATACAGCCACGATCTTACAGACATCCTTTGGCATGTGGGCCATGGCCTTGGAAAGATTTTTGGAAGGTTTCGGCCAGAGTGAATGAATGGCTCAGAGGACAAGCTTCCTTTTCAGCACCAGGAAATATCTAATGAAAGGCCAGTTAGAGCCCAGACAGCTTTCTCTGTGCTCTGCAGCAAGATCTCCTCTCATTCAAGCTCTTTAACTGGCTCTGTCTTCCTCACAGGAGCAGAAAAGCAGCTTCCACCCTCACTTCTGACAGGAGATGACACAGTTTACAGGGGATGAAAGTTTGGGGGCCCTGCTCTTGGGGTCATTGCAGCAGTCTCACCAGACACTGCTGATGGATGAAGCCTTTATTTTACATTCTGCCTGAGTAATTTTAATAAATATTGATAGGTTTGCTCTATTATTAATTTATTTCAGGCAGAGCATGTCTGTGAAGCCAAGGAATGTCCTTGACAGAGGAAGCAGTGCTTACCAGGCATAAGTACCTCTGCTGAGGGCACAGCAAAGACCAGAGGAGCCTGTCAATACAGCTAGAAAGATAATGATGTGCCCTGTGGTGCTACAGAAAGGTAAGGCCTTTCTTCAAGACAGAAATGTAAAAGTATTATTAAGTATTTACCAGGATTTTTCCTAAACAATATCATCAAAAGATGCGATAACACTTGGGCACTGTGTGGGGCAACTGTGAAATGAGGTGTTTCTTTCCTTTACAAGAAGGGGACATGTCATTCCCAGCTAGGCTCTCTTAATCAGGATTGGGCCTCGAGCTAGCCACGGGTCTGGGTTTCCCAGAGCTTTGGCACTGGTTCACAAGGCGCGCAGGGCCGTGCCATGTGTGTGGGCACGGCACTGTGCTTGCATGGAGTGCCCCTGAGAGATTCGGTCTCCGTCGGCACGGAGCGCTGCTCGGTCTAGCCTTTTTATAAGATGAAGGCTTTAATCTTAGTTTCAATTTCCTCCATAAAATTTGTATGCAAATATTTTCCTAGCTCTCAGACCTATTATGAATGGGATTGCCCTCTGGATGGTTGCCAGTCAGCTTGGCTGCCTTTACTATAGACTTTACTGGTTGGCATCAGAGTTGCTTTGCATGTACAGACCCATCTGCAGCCGTAGCAGCCATTTTTCCCCAGCTTGGCTGAGTATTTTTGCGATTCAGAGGTGGCAAGCTATTTGTAGAGCTTGGTTAGTTAAGGTATCTAGAATACCTGCAGAGTCCATTTATTCCCAGCATGACTGAGACAGAGCTGAGGCTCAAAAACATATTTCTTTCCTCTTCTGCTGTGCTAAAGAAGAAACACTTTGTGAACACCCTTTTCAGCTGCCAGTTTGTTTCTGTGTAGGTTAGTATATAGAAAGGGTTTTGATTTTTCTTCTCTGTACCTGACAAGATCAGCCCCTCAGTCCTGAAATAAGTCACCTTAACTCAATACTCACCATTATCTCTCCCAGCTTACTGCTAATTTAAATAGCCAAAATGATCATGCTTTACATTGAGGTTCTATTTATGAGTAACTGATAAAGGACTAATAAATGGTTGATTGCTGTTGTAATAATTTGTTAACTGAGTATTATAGAGTCCAACAGGTTAATTGGTTTCAAATAACCATGGCTTATAACTGTCTATAATCCTTTCTACTGATGTCCTTATAACACACATTTAATCTAAGCCATAATGCATATCTCTTGTGACTATGCATATAGTCACTGCTTTTATCACCTCTATCATGGAACTTTGAAACCACAAATATTTTAAAGCAGAAAAAAAGTTAAACCAAATACTATGAAGGTAGTGAATTCTGTGGAAACGTTTCCCTGTACCTTTTAGTTTAGACGCTTGTTGGTATTGAGGCCTTTTTGAGAATGAGTGATTTGTGGCTTCTCACACCAAACAAAACAACTGCATTTTCTATATTTGCCTGGGGCTTTGCAATTCTAAGTGTCCCTCTCAGATGTGTCAATCGTTTAGTGAAAAAATGAGCTGAGACTTCTGAACACTCCAGAGAGTCATGCCAGTTGCATCTTCCTTATCTGCTAGATATCTGGGCATACTTTGTTTGATAGATATATTCCAAACCAAAAATAAATCTTAACAAACCTCCCCCTTCTCACCTTTTTTTCTCATACCAGCTTTATTATAAATGAAGCTTTGAAGCCTCTGCATGCGTACCAAGGGAGATTGAGTTGGCAATGGAGTAGAAGAAGAGTGTTTCCTGAGCAGCACTAACACCGACAGTTATCTGGCCACATAGATGCTTTGTACATGCCAGCTCCAAAGCACCTGTGGGTCCTACTGTGCCAGAGATGCTTCTGCTGATTTGTATTTCCTATGGCTTAGTTTCTTGCTGTGCTGCTCCGTTTTACCCAATCAATGCAAATGGGCCAGTATATTGAAAAATCTCATCCGTATTTTTTAACCCAGGAGAACGACTTTAGGCTAAATTCTGATCCTCATTGTAAATATCTTCACTTAAGCCAGCATGGTGCCACTAGAGTAATGCAGATGAGACCTGGCATGACTGAGGGGTGATTTCAACAGAAACAGAGCAGGTGAGACCCAAAGTTACCCAGTGAAGGTTTCACCTGCTCTGTTTCACAGAATTATCAGTGTTAGTGAACTGTAACTAACTAGCCTTCACTCATTATTGTAGATTTCCAGTAATTGAATGCTAACATTTCTTTCTATCCTACTAGTGAAACAGTTCATTAACAGCAATAGAAGTATTAGGGCAGTGGGGCAATGACAGCAGCATGCTGCAAAGATAGCTAGGAGAGCTCCTCAGCATGCCCACACCAGCATAATCTGTGAAGGGTAATTGCAATGGTGAAAAAACAACTGTATTTTAAAGCTACTTCCCATAATTTGCTTCATTTTAAGCAGAGGGAAAGAAGTTTAAACTAAACAAATGCTCACTCTCCTTCACTTCCCTCTTCACATCAGTCATTGTCAGCTTGATATAGAAAATACGGCTGTTAATAGCTTGCAGTGGAACAAACATTTGCATAACTGTTACCTCAGAGCCCATAACTCTGAGCTAATTGGCTGATGGTGATTAAAATGATTAAGTGACTGTAATTTATATGATTAACCAATTAAACCATTCTCTTGTGATTGGCCCAGGGTAGGCTCTGGGATGTGAGCTTGTTTCCCAGCATGCATGCTGGCAGAGTATGGTATTAAATATTCTTTGAAATACTTGCAGTTGTTCCTGCCAACAGTACTCAAGGTGCTTTAAAGGTAGTTTAATTACTCCGGATCATTTGTGTAGCACAGAGACTCATAAGTTGAAGACAACACATGAATTATTAACAAAATAAATCTAGCACCAGCTAGGATAGCACAGAATTATTGAGGACAGTGAACAGGGCAGTGAATTTGATCATCCAGGACAGATAGATGACAGACTGGTGTAAATGGATGCAATATCACTGAGTTGAACAAAAGCTATGCTTTTGTTTATCCCGGCATGACATCTACATTTTGGTCCTTGAAAGCTGGAAGTTCACCAACAGATCTGAAAAAAAGGTAGAGGAAAATAATTGTAATTCCTTTTAGGTAAAAAAAAAAAGGGAACTGACTTGGTTAATTTGTAACCACTTCCATTATGAGTACATTTGCCAAGGGAGTGAATGTTGTTTGAGCGAGTTCTGGTTCTTGAAGGAACTAGGCAGGTGGGCAGGAAGCAATAATTAAGCATATTCTTTGTTAATCTCCTGCTAGGTACACTGAGAGGAAAACTTGCTGTGGTTTCATCCCCCTCTTTCCTTCCCCCCTCCCACCTTCCTGTGGGTTGCTGTTGCTGAAATAAGGGGCTGCTGCATTTCTAGCTTTTTTTCCCCTCACCTCCTACCAGCAGACAGTTTAATTCCATGCTTCCTGAGGCTAAACACATCCCCTTCATTCACATTACTTTCAATTTCAGCTGCTGTGTGTCCTGAAATCTTAAATCCATTGCCAGTTAAACTGGACTATCAGTTCTGATGTTACATGTTCATCTTTTAAGAGATGAGAGTAATATGTTTTTCTTTTTCAGTAAACTTCAGTACAAATTACAATTACCTTTGTGTTTCTCATCTTTCTTGACTGGTTATTAAATGTCAGCATAACAAAGATTGCTAGTATTTTACTATCATACAGGTTAACTAGCTCCATATGCAGTTTTATCCTGAACAGTGCCAAGTGGCCTTGGCAAACTGGCAAGATTGCGGTTTTTTGTTGTTGCTACTGCTGCTGCTTAGCTACATTAAACATCAGTGTGATGCTAACTGGGTAGTCCCCATGCTTGGGTGGATAACTTCTTAGGATAAGTTATTGTATTTTAGGAAAACGAGGTTTGAAAAGTCCGTTGTTTCATGAAGGATAGCAAAATCTGAACAACTGCATGTAATCTGAATATGTTCTTTGAAAAGGCTCTGTGAGAATGACTGTAGTGTCAGAATGTCGTTTCCACAGTAAGCTGTAGCAAAATTAAATAAATTGCCCATTTTCCCTTGCTGATCCTATGGTAGAGTCCACTTTCTTTCTGTTAGATGACAACGTCTCTGCGTGCACTGAAAGTGTTCAGTCGAGCTCAAGGGGTGTCTGTGATGCTGCTCATGAAGCTTTGATTCTGGAGGTAGTGTATGTGCATGCATGTGTGTTTGTGTGCATGTATATCTATCTCATTACTGATACGTAATAAACGTTTTAGACCTGACCCTGAGAAACATTGTGAAAGCCTTCAGCTCCCGCTGAAGCGAATCACTGTAACTTTGCAAAACTGAGAGCAGTTAATGAAGGCTGAGGCTGGGGTGCAGGAGATTCTGCCTCAGGTTTGCGTGACCTTGGTCCATCCTCTCACCCCTCTTTGCATCCATTCCCTGTTGCTAAAAGGAGGAGTCACACCTTCATCACTCTAGCATAGCTTGAAGACAAGGCCATTAATATACATAATGCACTCACATAGTACCAGGATGACCTCCATGGAAAAACTTATAAATAAACATAAATAGGGGCCTGATGAGTAAAAGGCTGGGTCCTGCCTGGGCTTCATTGGGACTTAAAAGGACCACACAGAAAATGCATCTTAAAATAGATTATTTGAAGGTCATAGCCTCCTACCCTTACCTGTCAAGACCCGAGCGGAAGCTTTGCCTGCAAAGTGATAGCACTGCTGATGACATCAGCACTCTACATGCAGGTTTTGGCAGGTGCTAGCCATTCGTTTCACCTTTACAACTGTTCATCCAAGAATTTCTTTGGAGTCATGACTCACTGTGTGCTTTTGCGGCAACTCCCATTTAGTTGTATGAAAAAACTCATTTCTGCTAAAGATCTGCTGCTGGGATATCAAGACTTGAGAAAATGCAGAGTCTCTGACTGATTCTTTTGATAGGTTATAAAATATTAAAAGGTGGTAAAGTTTTAAAACTTATTTTTAGGTATCTATCTACAGCCAAGTCCACTTGGCCTAAGTGATCAATCAGTGAAGCAACATTACATAAAAATGCTGAATTCATGTTATCCTGGATAATCTATATTTCAAAAATGAGACCGAGCTCTTAAATGGCCTGCACATGGGTTTGATCT